AACAACAGATCTACAATTTCGAAACTGATTTAGGGCTTTTCTGGTCTGTTGCTACATATATTTGCAGTCATCGTTGAACAAATTATTTTTCTTATCAAACTTTCTTATAGTCTGTGGCAATTTACATTTATGTTTCATGCCATCAGCCGCGTTAAATAACAAATCAGATAAAATATTAGCAGCTTCAATAGTATTTCCCATATTTTCTAAAGTGTGAAATCTTTCTACCAAGAGCTTTGCAGTTTCTCCTTTCCAAAATGTATGGAATTGATCCTGTTTTGATACATTCCAATTAAATCTAGTAAAAATACTGCCCTCAATTGAGGATTCTTTCTCATTTTGGGTTAGAGTTTTCAGTCTAAATGTGATTGTTAAGTGGTCAGAATCGGGTCTATTAACTATGGAAAAATCACTACACAGTTCAAAATAGTCATAACATGTTAGGACGTAATCAATTACACTGGCACCTGTAAGTTTAATACATGTAAAATGGCCTAGTCCTTTATCTTCAAATAATCGGCCATTAAGAATTCTTAAATTAGAGTTTTTACATAAATCTAGTAATAAATGGCCAAATGGATTAATTGCACGATCCTGGGAAGACCTTTTTGGTAACTCTGGTTCTGGCATATTTACTTGATCAGCGAAAAAATCCCTGTTATCATGTTCAGTAAAGTCTGGTTCCGTTGCCGTTCTGGCATTAAAGTCACCACAACAAAAAATTTATTATCCGGATATTTAGATATATTATTTGCCAATTCATCCTCCAAAATTTATTTCATTAGAATAACTGCTAGAAAACTGGGGTGAAAAATAAACAATGCCAAAACAATATTTCGAATCACCAATAATATATTATATATATAATAATATTATATAACGTTACCATCTGAGACTACTCACCATGTTTCTGTTGCAGGTCAAACATACGGTGAGAATGACCAAGTTTCTTTGAAAGATGGAGAGTCTTATTACCTTGTTGTCAGGGCAACCAATCTTCTTGGATATACTCAGTCAATCAGATCCAATGGTATCTCTATACAAAAAGATCCGTTGTTGCCAGGCCAGGTCAAAGATGGTGACGTGATTGGTTTTGACATCAACTACCAACCATCAGTGACTCTGTTATCTAGCAATTGGGATGGATTTGGACTGGATGGTCTCATGACAGGTCAGTGCATTATCTGATTTCTTTTATCATGAGCTGTGTTTTCTTGTGAATTTTATTTTTCTAGATGTAATACTGAGATATTAATTATAACTTTATGTGATGCAAACAGCATTTAGAGAGTTGGAAAATTTATTTTGTTTTGAACAGAAATTCATTTTTTTTATTGTTTGTCATGTTGCATGACATACTACTTTGTATTTGATACTCATTAACTTCCACAGAGGTCATTTTGTTCATTTTACATTGGCGAAAATATGTCTTATTATAAAATTGATATTGATGATGGACTTTGTGTAACTATGGTCATGTTATTTGGCCATATGAGTCATGTGATTGGACCATACGAGTCATGTGATTGGGCCATAAGAGTCATGTGATTGGACCATACGAGTCATGTGATTGGACCATATGAGTCATGTGATTGGGCCATAAGAGTCATGTGATTGGAACATACAAGTCATGTGATTGGACCATACGAGTCATGTGATTGGGCCATAAGAGTCATGTGATTGGACCATACGAGTCATGTGATTGGACCATATGAGTCATGTGATTGGGCCATAAGAGTCATGTGATTGGACCATACGAGTCATGTGATTGGACCATACGAGTCATGTGATTGGGCCATAAGAGTCATGTGATTGGACCATACGAGTCATGTGATTGGACCATACGAGTCATGTGATTGGGCCATAAGAGTCATGTGATTGGACCATACGAGTCATGTGATTGGACCATACAAGTCATGTGATTGGGCCATAAGAGTCATGTGATTGGACCATGGGAGTCATGTGTCAAGTGTAACGTCAAGTGTCATATTCTTAAAGCCGCAAATATGACTACCTGTCTTGAATTATAATAGTCTAGAACTAGAAAAACACTACACTATGATTATCATATACATTTTGTATGATTGAAACTATAAAATAAAGTGTTATCATTATAAGTTCACATTTGAAAGATTTCAACATGATTATAAAAACTGTGAAATTCGGCTGTACAAGTCATAAAAGCATGGATCACAGCAAATTCTAAATTCTGTTGCTGTGTTTACAAGTTTTTGATCTAGCTTGAAAACTAGAACACACATAAGTATAATCTTAAAACTTGCAGTACTGAACAAAATTCTAACTACATGGAAATCAGAACATTGCTTTGTAAACAATATGTATGACATGCAAGTCTCAGGTATTTGTTATAGAGCTGTATTTACATATTAATTTATTGCTTTGCAGGAGAGATTCGTGGCCAACAACACCAGATGATAGAACACTATGAAGTAGCAGCGGGAACCGATCGTAGATACCCAACAACGAGGACCAATATCCATCCATTTATTCATGTTGGTCTCAATAAAACACACACATTCACTGATCTACATTTGGTACCCAAGTCAGTAACTTACTACATTACTGTGAGGGCATACAGTGTGTCTACTGCAATGAAAGAAGTTACATCTAATGGTATTCAAGTAGGATATGGTGGTAAAGCGGTGTCACTGGGTGAGGTCAGAGTATCAAGGTTAGGGTCATGTACTAATTATTTCCTTATCAGTGTTGGCTATGAAAGTTGTGAGGTATAGTTGTTTTCCATGTCTGTCATATTGCCGTCATCATCGTTGGCAATTTGTGTCTGGGAAATTTTCTAAAATGTGGTTGTGTTATCCATGTGTGAAGTAGGTGTGCATATATTTGTTTCCTCCACTGCATAGGACCACCAAATAGCGTTTTTGGACATTAGCACTATCAGATTAATACATTAGAATGACATGAAATGGACTTTACTGCTAAAAAAAATAAATACATAAATATGGTTTTAAATAATAATGACTCTCTCAATAGTATCAGATTTTGGATGCAATTTATGTGAGTTATCGTCTCTTTCTACTAGATACATTCCGTCGAAGACAACAATGACAATAGCGTGGGGTGGCTTTGAATTTACTATGCCAATAATGTTTTACCAATGGGGAATAGGAACTGTGGACAACAATATTGACGAACTCACTTGTACACAATTGGTAAGTACATTGAACTTCATTTCCTTATTATTTTTAGTTAGTTTTTAACTAATATTCTTGAAGAGAAAAAAATATTAATTAATTTGGCAGATATGGAGCTGGCAGATATGTCATCTGTTGACGTCAACTTTACTTCTTCTTCTTTAAAACGGCAAGTCCACTTGCTTTGATACTTTGTATATCTGTACCATCAGATTTGTTTATATTGTTTATATTTGTAAATATTGTTATTTGTGGTAGAAAGTGCTATTTATATATACTTCTTCTTGAAAATGACAAGCCTGATTGCTTTGATATTTCATATATCAAGGTGGACTTTAGTTAGATTTGTTCATTTTTTGATGATATTTTCAAATCTGTAATTTTGATGAATACTTTGTTATTTCTTTGCAAAAAGTGATACTTTTGATGATACCGTCTATTCTCTAATTTTAGTCAATATTTCTGTCAATTCAAGTATCACAGACGGAGGTTATTAGCTAGCATGTATGTAATTTCCTATGATCACCACCATTTTGAACAAAACACATACAATTTAACATAACAATATCATTATTAAAACACACTGCAGACCTTGTTCTATAAATTGTGTCAGATTGAATAGAAAGCTAGGATTGTTCCATTTATTAAAAACATTTTTGCTTGATTTATAATTTTTCAGCAAAATTTCAACGAGGAAGGTGAACTTCTTAGCAATCCAGAATATTCTCACCTATTTGATATGCATTCCTTAACAAACACTGGTAAAGATACAATGGTGAGCCCTGATGACCTGGAATTTGAGGAGGGTCAGACATATACGGTGGTTGTCATAGCAACAGATGAGTCTGCACAGTGTTCCTTAGTGACAGACATTATTACTATAGATACCACTCCACCAGTTGAAGGGAGGTTACAGATAGGTGCATTTCAGAATGAAGTGAGTTGGTTGAAATTTAAAAAAATGCTTTTTTTGTTTTTTTTTTCAAATATTATGCAATTATTGTAAAATATAATTTATAGCTAAAGCCAATAAACGTCCAACTTTGTTTATTGACAGAAAAAATGCTAATTATATTTATTAAACTAAGATTTAATATGATCATTATATTTGTCTGAATATTTGTCATTATATTTTACAGATGTCTCAAAACATATATTGACAATAATTAGGTTTTTCAATGATAATCAAGCTGAAGATGTGTTATGTTCACCAGATAGTACATATATTATGGTCCTTCTGGTGAACTATTATTTCAATAAATGCTACACTTGCACAGAAAACATGGCATCAAATGCAGGCAAAATGATTGTGATATTTCAATATTATGTATTTTATTACAGGATGTAATGTACACAAAGCAACCTGAACAACTTGATGTGACTTGGAGTGGTTACTATGACGACATTAGTGGTATACAACATTATGAATTAGCATTGTATGAAGGCCAGTCTTGTCAAGATAGTGGTGATTTGATTAAAGTAAAGGACTATATAAAAGTATTACCCAATGATACTGACTATACCTTTCTTGATTTACAACTCCAGGTAAAATATACATTTTTAAAGGATGCTGATTGTTGATCAAATTTAAAGTAAACAATGAATTTTACATCAGACTGCTGTACTTTAACATATTGTGTACAAACACTTTTTTAGTCCCCGTTCGGACGCAGTCCGAAAACGAGGACTTATGTTTTGCCCTGTGTGCGTCCGTCCGTCCGCCCGTCCGTCCGTGATCACCTGTATCTCGAACATGCATGGACCGATGAAGTTCAAACTTCACTCATACATCACACATTATATGGGACATATGCACATGCATTTTTTTCATGATCCGATTAACGATAGCCGAATAGCGGTCATTTTAAGGCCGAAAATGCATCAAAATCGCACATTTTCACCATTCCGGACCCGGATCTCAGTTATGCATGGACGGATTTTGTTCAAATTTGGTACATACATT